ACATTCCAGGTCACATATTCTCTTTCTGGCATGAATGAAACTGAACGTGAACCTGCTCGCCTGCGAAACCGAATGTCTAAGCAGAAAACGAGCTACCCAGAGGCGAGAGTTTACAAAGAAGCAAAAAAACTGCACTGCCAACAACAAGCTGCTGCCCCGGAGAGGAGAGCGCGGAAAGCGGAAGCTTACCTGCTAAGACACAATAAATATACTGTAAACCCTCGTGTCTCTGATGTACATGCTCGTGTGGGAATTGTCACAAGTGAATAATGGTAAAAACGATACACAGTACTTCATCTACTTGTCAAGATTCACTTTGGAGCGATGCGCGGATTTTTGGAGCCAGTTTCATCTGCGTGGTAGTTGATTATTCTACCACAGAACCTTGTCTGTGCTCAAAATTTATTTGCCAAAAGAACCAGAACGGTCTTCATGTCGGGCAGGTAATCACGTTGACTGATGATAAATAGCGTGGCAGAAGATTGAAATATTAGGTATGCTTTACCACGGCCGGGCCAGAGAGCGAGCGGCTAGAGAGCGAGAGGCCTAGTTGCTGCCTGCGGCCGCTGCTAGGAGCTGGCGCTGCGGGCCAACCATGCGGACGCGCTCGTCTACCACTCCGCGCACGGGCGAGCTATGCGCGGCCTCTGCTCTTCTTTTTTTTTATTTTTCACTACAATCACCGCTACTGGCGTACGCAGAAGGGGGGTTAAAGGGGGCCGGGTAGGAAGAACCAAACGAAGACTGCGTGCCCATTCCCGAATAATGGTTTCTGATCTTCGGCTCATTATTTGTGTCGCACGCTACGCACCAGCCCACGGCCGGGCTAGAGAGCGGCACCGCGCGCGCTACAGCGCGCGCCGCTTTCTTTCTAGCCCGGCCGTGACCAGCCATACGCGACTTCGATGTATGTTCTCAAAGCGACGATGAGCCATTTTGCAATTTCTCTGAAGAAATTAATGAAATAATTACAAAATTCGACAGAACGTGGAATCGCCCTAAATTTTTAGTGTATCGTGAATAAATTACAAGCTTTGGCTTTTTTCTGTTGTGTGGTTTAATTTTTGTGTACTTTTTTGGTCTTTCACGCTGCCCTCCCTGCCCCTCCCTCCCCCTTTTCTGAACTGAAATTCTAAGTACTCCGCTATCGTGGGCGCCCGCCATCGGGTGCAACAAACAGAATTGCTGCAAAATTTTGCTCTCAGCGCAGCGTGATTGATTCGCCTTGGCTAGTTTCAATGTTTCGGTTTCATATGCAGGTTGAAGTACTTAGCGGCGTACTCTAATTGTCATAGGTTACGACTTAAAACTTGCAGAGCGTTAGTTAGAAATCTTTAAAAACGCATGCCGAAGAAAAAGCATCGGGGATAATCTGTGAACTGAAAGGCACCAAGCAAACTGGAAACGAGTTTATTAGTTTATTATATGGAAACGAGTTCGAGCACCAGAAAAATTATCTTCGGCGTGACATAACAGTCTTGCACAAAAGAAACGTTGTTCGAGCTGGAGAAGCTTCACAGTCGGAAGTGCTTCCTCGACGGCTTATGTGTATAGTTCATGTGCTTTTCATTGTCGTCGGTGACTCGAGTGGAGTGATTCACTAAAAGGATCCTGAAGAATTTGTCAGCAATTAAACTTGCTGACCGTCTTCCGTGACTATATAGTGTCAACACTTTCGGGGCAGTTCAGCAGAGGTACGTCCTCAAGATGCGGCCCTACGAGCAGCTGTAGAACTTCGAGAACATGCGTGCGTGGCAGGTGTTTTGCTATTTTCTCGAAGAATGTGACGATCCCGTTTAAAAGTGCAAGGAACTCTGGCCTCGGGTAGGCAAGGCCGCTTCTGTCCTGGCCTCTCAAAAGCGCGTACAGTGGCTGATCTTTGTCGCTTGTAGTGAGGAGCATGGCGCAAGATTCGCACCCGAAGTCCGTGATCAGTTTCGCGATGTTACCGCTGACGTAGGCTAAGCCAGAGCATGTCACAGACAGTGGGGGAGCGGAAATCATTCCCTAAGCTCTTTCAGGTCGTCAGAGAACGTCACCGACAGGCTACTGACCAACTTGTCAACATCAGTGTCGCACGTCACGACTTGAGGTGGCTTTGCGAACTTGGATTTTACAATTTGGCCCAAAGCAGCCGTCACAGCCCGGGCGTCGAGCATGTCGTTTCCACCGCACATGTACCTGACTTTGCCGAATACTGCTTCTATGGGGTCGCTGTTTAGCTTCCTTGTTAGCACGTAGTTGATGCCTTGGGTTAGGAGGTATCGAGTTGTTTCCACTGTTGACTTTGTAGTGAAAAGCAGGGCCTCAAACGTTTCGTCGGTGAAAGCGCCCTTCCCAGAGGCGACTGATCTTGCTTGTACTTTCTTTACACAGCACGTGAAGTCATTTTCTAGCCACAATAGCCGGCCATCGTCCACGTCTGCAATGGGGTCCTTCTGCCCCGTTCCCCCGAAAGAGGTGTCGTGCATATCAAACCAATCTTTCATTGTCCTCATGAAGTGCACGGTGGAACTTGCTCGCCTAAATGCGGAGAGTGCAGGGTCATTGCGGGAGTTTTCTTCGAGGTGTTCCAGTGCTGCACAAACCTGTGGGGAGAAGATCTGAACCGCACGAAGTACATTCATCTTCTCCAGGTTTGTAGGGTGGACGTGCTTCCTCGTCAAATTCCTGGCAAGCTTGATTGTCATATTCTTCTGGTGCTCGTACAGCTGTTGTACGAAGGTGCCACCAGTCACACCTGAGCCATCCGTAAGCTGTCGCTCCAGGAACTGGTTGCGCACATTCTTCAGAACGTGGCAAGGATCGAAGCTGAGCAGAATGATGCGGCTGTCATCGTGTGGATGCCTCACGACTGTTTGCAGAGAGCCACTCCACAAGTGTTTAAACAAGGTGACGTTGGCTGAGTAATTGTCAGGCACAATGCGGGTCACAACGAAGCCACACAATTCCACCGCAGCGATCACCTCTTTTGTCCACGTGAACAGGTCCCTGCCACTCAGCTGTTTTGTGAAGTAATACGAACAGGGAATTTTGTACTTGCTTGACAGGCCTTGCAATACAAAGCACAAAACTTTGTTCGCGAGCACTTCCTTAGAGCTGCTGGGCGTATCACCGCCGGGCTTGTCTTTAAGGCCAAACACAGCGTCGGCCTTCCTTTCATAGATGCACTTGGGTCTGATGCTTGCTTCATCGGTTATCAAGGAGGCCATATGCTGCTTGCTGCTCAGCATCGACGCCTCGGAAACGAGCCTCTCCTTCATCGCGGCGCTCATTCCGGATGTCGTCGGGGATGGACCCATGTACCTCTGTAGAGTACACTTTGCAGGCAAGGTTAAAAGGCCCGACGTGCGAGCGTAGTCATATCCTTTCGGCGAAATGAAACGCCATATTACGCACTCTCGAATGAACTCTTCAGGGTAACTGTCATGCTTTTTACCGTACCTTCCGATCTGATGTAGAAAGAAAACGGCCTTTTTTCCCCTCGCTCAGCGTCTGCCACAATTTCCTCAAGTGCAGCCAAGTGCCTGTTTGCACGATACGCCTCGCTTGCCTTTTGTTCAGCTCTCAGCAGAGACAGAGACTTCTGACTTTGAGAACGGTGATAGGCGACTTGAGAACGCAGTCTTCCAACCATAGAAAGGTACCGACTTGCTCGCTGCGCATCATTGTTAGTGGTCTGGGTGGAAACATTTGCAGACGGCTTGTCGAAACTCTCCGGAGCATCCAAACCCACAGGTAGTTCCTCTGGCTCTGCCTTCCGCTTAGTTGGTTTGCGGGGGGGCAAAGATTGTCTTACGACTGGTTCTTTCCGGGGCTTCTTCGCACTTGACGCCAAGTATGCGGGATAATCTTCAAAGACAGTTGGCACGGCTCCGGGAAGCAGCTTTCTTATCCTGCAGTCAGGAGCGTAATCGATCTGACGGAAGTGCCTGCTGCATACGACAGTCGACGGTGACCTGTCGTTTATTACGAGGTTCTGCCTTGAAATGTTCCGCTGCCATTTTGAGCACAGTTCTTGATCCACAGGGAACTGGTGGAACGAAACCCCCGGCGTTTTCCCGGCACGCGATTTGCAGTACGGGACACAACAGTACACCATCACAGCACCGGTCGAAGCATATACACTGAGTTCACTTTACTATGTTGAACAACATGCAGCGCACTGCGATGAATTTCTGAAAACTCACGCCTTCAGCCTCTCTCAGACCGAAGAAAAGTAAGACGATGTGATTGCGGTTAAATCACAGAAGCACAAACACTGCGAAAACAGCCCGCACGTGCGTCGAAAGCAGCCTGCAAATGCAAGCGCGCAAGCAGCGCAAGTGCCAGGCAAGGGTTGGCTCGCGTAGCCCCCGCGTGGAGACCGGCGGAACTGTACGTCGAGACTCCTCCCCTTTGTTCTCGCCGCCGCTGCGGAGGCCGTATGAAAGCGCGCGCGCCGCTCGCTCTCTAGCCCGGCCGTGGCTTTACAAAATGCGATTTGTTTAACCAGGTAGTTTCACGCTTGCAACCCATTACAAGAAGCTCAGGAAAATTATTTGTCGCCATCAGCAGCAGCATCAACAAGGTACACATCATTCTTTACAGATGTCTTGTTGGTACTTCGCTTTGTATCTGAACAGCGCACTGCAAATGTGGTGCTGCGACTGCTGTAAGTACATGCAGTGCGTCATTCGTTCTTCAGCGGTACACTGCAAGTTTCCAGCTGCTAGTTCTTCTTCGTGTTACGTTTTAAGGTGTTTCTGTCGCGCAGACTGCTTTGCCCTTGTGGTGGAACTTCCATTGTTTTTTCGCGGCAGAGCTATCTGACCATTAACAGAATCTTGTCCCACCATATATAAGCGTATACTTATTCTGCGTGTTATGGGCACTTCGTTTGATAGTATAGGAAGGCGAAGTGGTGTCATCTAAATTATTCGCAATGCAAGAACTCGTTAATGCATAGCATGTTGTCTGCTGGCATGTTGTTTGAAGGATATAACTTTACCTTTACGCAGGTGGCCGCATTGACCATGCCCATCATGCTAACCGTGCAAAGCTTGCCCTTCAGGAAACGCTCGAATTTGACGAAGCCGTCAACAAGACAGTGCGAACTCTTCCTGAAAATGAAACCCTCTACGTTGTGACAGCAGATCATTCGCATACGATGAGTATAGCAGGCCACCCGAGTCGGGGAACCAACATACTGGGTATGTAGGAATGTTTTTGATATTCGAACATTTGCGTCTAAGATGATTTAAATACCAAAGATTGTCATAAAACATGCTCTTTGATTAAGCCGCATGAGAGCTAAAAAGCGTAGTTCCAGCACCTCCAGGAACATTGCCTGACAGCAACAGCTTTGAATTCTTCATAAAGCTATTTCAATATGGGGTACTTCTTAGGTTGATAGAGTACATGCGCACTTCCATAGATTTCACTAAGTACTTCTAATGCTTCCCGTGGAGTTACAACCTTAGCATGTTAATTTTCATTTCTTGGACAAGAACTTTGAGCATAGGCGTGCACATGGGCAATAGAGGGGCAGGGAGTCATCTCCCTTAGTCAACCCCTCTTTCTCCAATGAAGGTGAACCCTGTGCATGTTTATGATTCCGACGCTATAAAAGAGATAAGTGGTGTATATTCTAAAACCAAGTGTCCAACCATGTATAAGATCTCGTTTTAATGTTCAACTGTTCTCGCAAATAACGAGAGCTGTATGAGTCGGTGTCCCCACCGCCGGCATTGCGGCAACGAAGGAAGTGGCCTTTAACGCCTATGTAAATAGCGCGTGCTAACAACATATTAAGTACCCACTCCTGTGGACATGCTGATCAAGCCATTAAAATTAAGGTGTTCTAGCTGTTGAGAGACGTTGTTCAGTGCTCTATAACGATATCAAATCGCTTCAGACGTGCAGGAATCTCAGTGGAAGGACGCTCGTAATTTAGCGTAACACTGAATAGGGGTGCACGTATAAAGCCACAGTTACTTGCAGTGGCGCGTTCTGTCGAACAATACCTCGTATTACAGTGCAACCACGCTTTTTCTTTTAACAACTCGACTTTTACGTATATTATTCATGACAACTAGTGCAGAACCGGAAAACAGACAACAGAAGAATTACAAATTAGGTCACTTTGGAACCTCGTGCAAGAAGTAGCAATAATTGAAATTCGCAGATAGGCTGTAGAAAAAGGTTCCCCACAATTACAATGTACAATATCGGGACTCTTCGCTTGCTTTCAAACTTGCAAAGTAGCATAAATCTGAACGATAACAAATGTGTGCCTTTCAGTACCCGTAATATGGTATTAATATTACCGACTCTGCCATAACGATTACTGTCAGCTTATCGCATTGTTGCTTTAGCCATCTTGAAAGGACTGATGAGTCAATCGTGGAGCTTTGTTAGATCCCATATATTCAAACCCACATTGCTCTGTACAGTTCGCCCAAATGTTGTAGTAAAACAACAGATGAAATTCTGACTCATTGTTGCAACCATTTAGGATGGTTTCTTCTCTTTCTTCTTCCAGGACTGGCTGGAAACACCACACTACGGAGCGAACCTAAAAGCACATATACTGTACTGTCCTATGCGGTTGGACCAGGCTACAGAGAACGTGAAAATTATACGGAAGAAGAGACATGTAAGCCATTTACGAAAATCACACGTGCTTATTGTCAGTAGTAGAGAAATCAATAATCGGACGTCGACAACAATGCGTTTCGCTGTTTGCGCTTTATGTCAGTCTGTGATTCCTAATAGCTTAGTACGACCTATGTCGTACTATTGAAGCTAGCGCAGGCAACATTAGTAAGCAGACTCCTATTCACGAAAGTTTTTTTCTCTTTCAAACGGACTCCCTCGAACTCACCTAAATATTACTTGCCCGCACTCACTCTAGCTCTGAGACAGACTCAGAGCTAGAGTGAGTTCGAGTGAGTCGATTCATCAGTAAATTCGTCAACCTATACCGCTCATTCACCCTTGGACTCAGGCCCATGTGCATTACAAACATCATAACTACCAGGCATTTTCCTCATCTAGCTTGTGCTTTTAGTTCGTTTGATAAACATGGTAAGACAATGTTCAAAAACCAGTGTTGTAGTTATATTTAACACTGTTACCATTCGTGTGTCCTTAAGACGCATGTACGTGTACAGGCACGACGTTTACTTTGCATTTGACATGATCGCTCTTTGTAAAACAAAAGGACATCTATCCTAATTCTCCCTCACTAAATATTCCCATGTGAAACCCGTGAGATACTTGTATAAATAATAAATAACAGAGTATCAAAGCCTAAGTAAAGTATGACACAAGGCTAAAGTTGGTTGGCGCATCTGAGCCCCATTGGTTTAGGGGCCGCAAAGTGCTTACGCACTGGTGACCTAATTGTCACGTTTTTGCACGCAGCGGGAGACGATTTCATCCAGCAAGCGACGTATCCTTTATGGAGTGCTACTCATGGCGGGGAGGATGTGGCCGTTTATGCCAAAGGACCATGGGCACACCTCTTCGATGGCGTAAACGACCAGACGTACATTCCCTACGTTATGGCATACGCTTCGTGCATAGGCCAATTCAACGGCAGCAAATGTCATCACTTCAACGTTAAGACACGTTTATTTTAAAAGCTGGGATTTCAAACTAAACAATACAAAAAATAAATTTTCGCACCGTGATTAACTATTTTTCACATGGCCTGTACAGTATAAAGGTAGTTTCACATAACTCTAGCCAGTGTCCTAAATGTATGTTGATGCACTCAATGCCGATGCCAACATGAAAAGCGTGCACGTTGCTTAATATCGCATGTAAGACACACAACTTTTTTGAGTTTTGATAGAGAAAGAACTGCTATGTTATTTAGGACCAGGAGAAGTTTGCCTGGCTTTTCACCTGACATGCTACTCCAGATACCGGGCAATGGCTCTGATATATACAGTGATAAACACATAACACATACAGTCACACTCACACACTACACTATTTACAACGTTTCGTTCAGGCTTGTTACCCGCAAAAATTGTCTGTGCTTTTGTGGCGTGTAACACACGGAAGTTGTTCTCCCATGGGACTAGAGTATTTGTCGACCCCAAGTTTGTGTCCCGTTGTAACTTTAAGGCTTCAGTATTTAGGCAGACCGTTTATTAGATGAGTTTGATTAGCTGACTCCTAAAACAATAAATGTCGGGATAATTCTCATTAGAAAGTTGTAGATTTATATCATTCGAACATTCCCGATGAGACGGTTTCCAACAGTGCACCTAAAAGTATTGGTGTTTGAACAGTTACTGCAAATGCGCGTTAACTACAAAGAAAATCCACAGAACACGTCCGTTCGCCAGATTTTATGCGGCGTGGGGATGGGCCTGCTGCAGGTCCGTTGCGGTGCTATAGCAACGATGGATGGCTTGCAACCCCATAGTCACTGGTTCAACGAGAGCAGCGACGGTCGCGTTTCGGTGGAGCGAATTTCTAGAAGCAGGCGTACCGTGCTATGTCAATACACTTTAAGGAAAAGCACATGCTCTGTAGTTTGACAGCTGGTCAATACAGCAGGCCAAATAATCATATTTTGATTTTGGGACATAATATGCCAAAATATTGCAGTGAAAGCTGACTCGAATTTCTCATGACTGGCGAAATTAGCCATTTAAGCGAATGATCAAGCGTTGAAAGTGTTAATAAAATAATAAAATGTTTGTGCAATCAGTCCGCATTTTTAATTATTAAGTAAACTGTATTCCTATTTTGCATAAGATTTCTGTAAAAGCCGCAATTTTTTCGTCATCATGCGTCTACGTCTTCAATGCAACCATAACGCCACAATCCTGTTTTTAATTAACCCAAAACCTGCTCTGCACTGATCCCTTATTTTGTATGGACCCGACTACCGCGCACACGTGGCGATAGTTCAAGCGTAGATTAAATTGCCAGAACGAAACACACCAAAAGGAAAGCCAAATAAAATATAGCGGCCGCTAAAAAAACGCCAGGAGATTCCAGCAGGTAAAAAAGTGTTCCACACTGACTAGGAGTCTCAGTCAGACCTAGGAGTCTCAGTCAGTGTTCCACACTGAGTGAGATTCCTACGTTTGAATGCACATATATACCCCATCAAGTGCGAAGAAGGATTACAGCAGCAGTAGCTCTGTTGGTAGAGCATTGGTTGTATTCTTCGAAGGTGGGAGATTTGGAACCTTCCAGAGGCAAGATATATTTTCATCCGCTTTACTTTCGTCGTATACGTGCATCATAAATACCTCACATACTATCCTCTACACTTTTCCTTAATTTCTTTCAAGTGAATTCTGAATAAAGTATGAGCTAGTTCAATTCAATTCAATTCTATGTTTTTCAGTTTATACATGCTAGTTGGTTTCGTTGGGTTAAAAGCTGCATAAGTAGCTTGACCAGACCCAACGATCAGACTATACTAAATTATACAGGGCAATAATGACAAGCAGTTCCGTGCATTGGAGACCAAACCAACAAGTAAAACGATTTAAAAAGAATATGAAAATTAGTTGTACTTAGGATTAGAGACATGTCCAGCACCACAACTGCACAAGAAATAAAGTGAAATAAAATAATTGAATTAGCATAAAAAATGAAAAGTGTTACATCAAATAAGATATCGTATAGCAATAAACAGAAATGATAACAAGGTAAAAGAATAGCATCCGTATTAATTTAGAAAAAACTAGCTTCGAACACAAATTAAACATTGAACAAATAACGCATAACGCCACAAAAAATTCGTGTAATCATAAAACTACGTTAAAAAACATCATATACGCACAATTCAATGGCACGAAATGTCACGGTATGTGACATTACATGGAAACTGAATATAAACACAATCCTTTTTCAATAGGCACATGATTTTGCTCATGTTTATTTAAAGTAGATAGCAGGTATATACCAATCATTGGTGTTTTTAATGCTTCCCGAAATATAAAACTGACCATGTTTTAGGGTTCCTAGAGTTCGCATTAATTGTACGACGTTCTAAACAGGCCAAATGTTTTATGTACTTATTGATAGAGTCAGAAGTATATCGCGCAGTATGTAATAAACATAAAGTATGAAGGTTGTTGATTCCAAATCAGGTGACAACCCTAAACTTGTGGCTCCACACGTACGACTATATAACAGCATTTCTTATGGGCGAAACAGCCACGATCACTGTGGGAGCACTGACATTGTCTGAAACAACCACATGAAGCGCGGGCCCCCCGCAGGGTTCCGTGATCTCTCCCTTATTGTTTAACCTCGCCCTCATTGGTCGTCCTTCAAGACTTCAAACCATCCAAGCACTTTATCACACCACTTACGCCGACGACGTCACCCTCTGTGTGTGTGACGGCAGTGACGGTTTCATTGAACAGAGATTACAAGAGGGGATTGACACAGTGGAACGGTATTTACAAGGAACCGGACTATCCCGTTCGGCAGAGAAATCTGAGCTACTACTATATTGCCCTACGCTTAGAGGTCGGCCACCCAAACAACATCCCCAAGCGCTGGCGCACGCTGATAAAAAACTCACTACAAACGATGGTCACGCCATACCCGCCGTGGATAAAATCCGAGTGCTAGGTCTGATCATAGAAAGTAAGGGTACCAACAGAGAGACATTTCGCAACATTGAAGCCAGAGTGTCTAATACGATGCGCCTCATTGGGCGCATTACCAATAACACAAAGGCATGAAAGAGGCTAACATCATCCGTTTGATCCAATCAATCGTTCTAAGTCACATCACTTATACGGCAGCGTACCACCGATGGTTCACAGCGCAAAATTAAAAACTCAACAGCATAATTGAAAAAATATACAAACAAGTGCTAGGTTTCTCTCAAAACACCAGCACCAAACTCCTCATTCAACTTGGTTTACACAATACCCTTTAGGAACTTATTGAGGCGCAACAAATCTCTCCACTTGAGCGATAAGCCAAGACTAAGCCAGGCTGCCAGATGCGATGTAATCTTGGTATTTCTTACCACATTCAAGACGGAGACAAACACGGCATACCACGCACTATCCCCGCAGAGCTAACAGTGTGGTGGAGCGTGCTTTAGTTCCCACGTCCTCCTGCTCTACCCGTCACCCCTGGAACTCCAGTCTGGTTGACGGTTGAACCTTCAAGCAAGAGTGACGGGAGAACCCAACGCGTCTGCTGCTGCAACCTCTCCTTCTCAGCCACTTAGGCTTCACTACACCGTGAGTACCTCTCACCGAGACCCTCCGGTGTTTTCCGGCCTTCGCGGCGAAGACGTCGCAGAATGGCTGGACAGTTATGATCGAACCATCATGTGTAATTATTGGGACGAGGCGCACAAACTTCCCTACGTTTCTTTTTATCTCGTTGACGTTGCTAAAACCTGGTACTACAACCACGAGAGCGACTCCTCCAATTGGTCGGCCTTCACGGGGCATCTCCGTCAGGTATTTGGCACGTCTGCAGGATGCTCTGCGGTAGCGAAACAGAAGCTCGCCATCCGCATCCAGGGGGACGACGAATCATATACGTTCTACGATGAATATGTTCTGGCTCTCTGTCGCCGAGCACAAAAGGACATGACAGAGGCAGATTGCATCCGACACCTACTGAAAAGTACCAACTATGTGGCATTCAATGCTCTCGTTATGCAGAACCCAACTACCGTCCAGGACGTCCCCACTACATGCCAACGCCTGGACATGCTTTATTCCATGCGCCTTCCACACGCCTCCTGTGACGGTCGCTTTACGGGCGAGCATGAATTGAGAGCCCTTATCCGCACAATTTTCAGAGAGAAACTCCACGGCTTTATTCCAGGCAACCCAACAATTTAGTCTGTCCACCCACCTCCTACCAACCTGCGTGGGATAATCAAGGACAAACTGGCATCAATGACAAGCGCTGCACACGCCCCGTCTCTTGTGCACTTTCCGATGCCTTCGTACGCAGAAGTTGCATCACGGACCCCTGCACCAGTGCCAACCGTGCCTGCGGATGTCGGATGCGACCATTTAGCTGCGATGGCAACGCAAGTGCCAAGGCCACCCCAATATTCTACATGGCGTCCTCCTCACCCCATCTGCTTCTACTGCGGCATAAGGGGTCATATATCCCGTTTCTGCCAGCGCCGTCAGCAGGATGAACGACGTGGTTATGCAGCTTACGAAAGAGATTTTGCCCCGAGACCCGTTAAATACGATCCCACACAGTATCCGTCCACATCTCCTCGGTCGCCCTCCCCTCCACAGTCTCAAGCTGGACCTCATCCTTCTCGTTCATCTTGCCGCCACACCGACATCGCCCACGTCTCTCGACTCAAGCCATAAATTCGGCGTTCCAACCCTTTCTAATTTGCTGCCCTCTTTCGCGAAGGGGGAAAATAGTGTGAGCGCTGGCTATGCACTTACTCTTCATCTGTATGACAAAACCGTTGTAGTGATCATCGTCGTATGTCACGCGGGCTGGTTCTCTCTGGCTCGTGCATCTGAATTGAAAATATAACCTGGTTACTGCCGTACCGGACCTGGTCTCATAAGTGGTGGAGGAACCCATACCTAGAAACATGTACCAAGAACACAACAAGGGCAGAGGTGTCAGTAGAGCCAGAGCCATGCCAAAGATGTTTGGGCGCAACCACGAGGCTCTCCTTGCTGGCGCAGCACGCTACCAGGAACGTCACCACTTCGTGGCTGCTGTCGTAGATCAAACACAACAATGCAAAAGAAGCGCGTCAATCATCAC